TACGAATGATAACTTTTACAATCACCAGGAAAGTATTACAAGTCGGGGACGTAACCAGAAGAGGATTAAGCCATGTTTTACCAGAGTGGCGAGTATTGAGGTTAATCCCACCTGACGCACCTCACTCATGCTGCTTCAGGACCCGCTCTAGAATTATCTACCTGCCACGTCTAACCTGTCATGCCTCACCTGCCATGCGTACACTGTCATGCCTCACCTGTCACACGTACACTGTCATGCCTCACCTGTCATACGTAAAACTGTCATGCCTCATCTGTCATACCCACACTGACAATGCCTCACCTGTCATACGTATACTGCCACGTCTCACCTGTCATACGTTCACTGTCATGCCTCACCTGTCATGTATACTGTCATAGCTCACCTGTCACACGTACACTATCATGCCTCACCTGTCACACGTACACTGTCATGGTTCACCTGTCATACGTACACTAACGGCCATGCCTCATCAGTCATACGTGTACTGTCACACCTTACCTGTCATGGCTCACCTGTCATACGTACACTGTCATGCCTCACCAGTCATATGTATACTGCCACGTCTCACCTGTGATACGTACACTGTCATGCCTCACCAGTCATATGTATACTGCCACATCTCACCTGTCATATGTACACTGTCATGCCTCATCAGTTATACGTACACTGTCTTGCCTCACCTGTCATAAGTATACTGTCACGCCTCACCTGTCATACGTATACTGTCATGGCTCACCTGTCATGCGTACACTAACGGCCAATGCCTCACCAGTCATACGTGTACTGTCACCTACACCTGTCATATACAGTCATGCTCACCAGTCATACGTATAGTCAGGCCTCACCGTCGTAAGTATACTGTCACGCATCATCTGTCATACGTATACTGTCATGGCTCACCTGTCATACGTACACTAACGGCCATGCCTCACCAGTCATACGTACACGTCACGCCTCACCTGCCATGCGTACACTCTTACACCTCACCTGTCATACATACACTGTCATACCACACCTGCCATACATACACTAACTGTCATGCCTCACCTGGCATACGTACACTAACTGTCATGCCTCACCTGTCACATGTACACTAACTGTCATGCCCCACCTGTCATACCTCACCTGTCAATACGTACACTAACTGTCATGCCCCACCTGTCATACGTGCACTAACTGTCATGCCTCACCTGTCATACGTACACTAACTGTCATGCCTCACCTGCCATACGTACACTAACTGTCATAGCTCAACTGTCATGCTTCACCTGTCATACATACACTAACAGCCATGCTTCACCTGCCATATGTATAATGTCATGGCTCACCTGTCATACGTACACTGTCATGCTTCACCTGCCATGTGTACTGTATACTGCCATGCCTCACCTGTTATACGTACACTGTCATGCTTCACCTGTCATATGTATATTGCCATGCCTCACCTGTCATACGTACAGTTATGCCTCACCTGCCATACGTATACTGTCATGGCTAACCTGTCATACGTACACTGTCATGCCTCACCTGTCAGACGTACACTAACGGCCATGCCTCACCAGTCATACGTGTACTGCCATGGCTCATCTGCTATACGTACACTGTCATAGCTCACTTGTCATATGTGTACTATCATCTACCTGTCACGTCTCACCTGACATGCATATACCATCATTTGGTTATAAAGCCACTAGAGAGTCATATGCACATCTCCTGTTAAGTGTACACAGTCATCTGTCACATACAATCCACCATCTGTCATACATACACGACCATCTGTCATACATACAAGACCATCTGCCATACATCACCATGTCATACATACACCATCTGTCATATATCACCATGTCATACTTACACCATCTGTCATACACTACTACGCCATACATACATCACCTGCCATACACCACAATGGCATACATACACCATCTGTCATACATACACCATCTGTCATACATACACCTTCTGTCATACATATACGACCATCTGTCATGGTACATACATCATCTATCATGCACCACCATGTCATGCATACATACATACACCGTCACCACAACCTTCACACACTGCCTCACTGACAAACACTTTCATCACATAAACGTATTTAGCGATACTGATGTTATTTTCGGAAAGTTCTATTTTTCATTTAACTTATGCAGCCAGTTACGATTAATATTTGTCGTAAGAGTCAACAGTCTACAGTAGTCAACACTGGCCTGTTAATACTTGTGTAGGAGACTGTGCTGTATAACTTCAAGGTGGAGGGGGAGGGGGGTCAATGAATTTCAAAATGAACACCGCGACTCCTGTTGTTTCGGTCCGGTTGTCAAAATCCTTCCCTCGTCCGTTGTGTTATATTGCCTCACACAAATTCGTTTTAAGATACTTTTGGAGTGAGTGCACTGTACATACTGATTCACGATTCACTATAAACTTATATGACGATTGCACTGAACAAATATGTAAGTATGTATGTAATAACAAGTGTGTTCATATAGTGGCGTTGACACACACCAAGAGAGCAAGAGAAGGACCGTACTGCCACACTTCTTGCCTCTTATGGGTCAAAGTGCTCATGTATTGTATCAGTTTAAGACTACGAGATGAACGACCTCACTAACACGATAAAAGAATTAACACAAACACACACACCTTATAAGAACAGCCCAATCTCAACCATTGTAAAAATTATCAACTCGAAATTAATCAGTGTTTTCATGACCTGTTGAATGACCTACACCCTCCCCACCTTGTTATTATATATTATATTTGTGCCACTTATGTCACTTGTATATTTCTTGTCAATCAATTTCTCCTTTCCTCAATTATGTAACTTTCATAATCCCTGTTGACTATATTTTCAGCCCGTTGGCTGTCATGTTTTCTCAATAAACCGTTATTTATTAATTAGTATAATTATTACTATATCTACCAAGTAAACAATTTACAGAAAATCTATCAACTCTGACACTGTCATGATACAAGACACGTTCTGTTTTCACTTGTATTAACTTATTATTTTCGTTTTGCGATAGACAATGTTACTGTTTAACCACCCAGCACAATTAAGGACCCCGATGGATATAACTCTTAATTACTTTCCAGGGCCATTCTTTGCCAAACAACTTACTGTTTACCGTTTAGTATTATTTGCATACCTGTACTTTCTACAGGCATGTAAAGTACATACTGAACCAATGTGAACTTGCATGATAACTTTTCTGAATAAATACAGATCTATTATATCTTACTGCATTTTCCATCATAATACTAAGACTTTACATTAAACATTCTGCTGCGCAACATGAAGAAAGATATTTGAGTGTTACATAACTAGAGTACCGTACATAAGTTCATAACATAACCTTTTCTAATACAGTGAACAATGTCATCTGTGTAAACAAAGAAGTACACATAGAAAAAGACACAGAGCGACAGAGGTGCACTACTATAAGGCTTCCTGCAAAGTAGAGCAGTTGCCAGAGAGCGTCACTGTCCTCTGCTGACACACGCGTTTCTGTCACGAGAAACACTTCAACCAGCTCCTGACTCTTTCCTCAGCACAGCCACTTAGTTCACCACGTTGTCAGAGTGACGAAGTAGGAGAGTAATGTATAACAGATAAAAAAAAAAAAAAAACATGGGAACACAGGCTCCAGCTGTGCATAAAGTAACACAGCTGGAACTCTGGAGTTTGAAGTCATGTCCACCGCATATACAAGATTTAACCTGGGATCCGAGTCACATATTTTGCCATCGCTTACAGAAATGTCGAGTCTCTAAATTTCTAAACTAACTAAGTTTTCGTGTACTGCATTACATGCTAGCTCCAGCAATGTGAATTTCATCGCTGGTGCAATTTATCACAGAAAACGACTGATACTTGGGATGCACTTTAACAGAAATTCACCCACGGCCCACGAGCCCATGACTGTGACCAGGGAACGCTACCTCTGGACCACCAGGATACTAAAAGCAGTCCTAGACTTTGTTATATTTCACACAAAGCCTGTTCAACGAGCTTATGGCGCCATGATCCTCTAATGGGGACTACCTGTATCACGTAGGTGGTCAGAGTAACGTTTTTACCAAATCCGGCTTCGAAACATGGTGTTGATTGAAGCTAGTTTGATTAAGGAATTAAAATCAATAAACCTTAGTGATGGTCAGTTCAAAACTGATAATATGTTACATAAATTTATTTGTCAGTGGCCCAAGGTTAAAAATGCTTTGAAAACCTTTGATCTAGATGTATGATAGTTATTTAGTGGGTCCCTTATTTTTTACCTGACCTGACTAGTCACGTCACCCCCCTTCTCTTAAGCTCCTCTACGTGTGTGTTGGTGTGGGGATTAGTTGATGACATCATTATGACCTGACCTCATGTTTTTAAGGTCACCCTGTATATTTAAGCCTCTCTCTGTCCATGTAATCCAGTTGCCTCTGAAGATGTCTTGAATAAAGACGAAAGCTAAGGTGCTCCATTGTTTCCCTTTTCCCGTGTGATTTTATCAAGATTTATCTTATCCACGTTTTCATTGTGGATCTACATGACATATATATATATTTCTATATATATATATTTATATATATATATATATATATATATATATATATATATATATATATATATATATATATATATATATATATATATATATATATATATATATATATATATATATATTGATAATATCACACAGGGAAAAGGGAAACAATGGAGCACCTTAGCTTTCGTATTTATTCAAGACGATGTAAGTCAGTGATCTGTGCCCAAGTGGGCTAATCACCATAAGAAAAAATCAAAATTGGCAAGCCACTGGTTGAGTCCAATAAATAATGTCTTCGTGACACATAAACAAACAGGTTCCAAAAACAATATCGTCCCTCAATATGACTCCTTACGAATGTTCATTACAGAAAGCTGAAGACATAATGCAAGATAAATCACAATAGGAGGGTCTACGTCATAGCCCTTCAGCAAGAAACAGCTCTCCTGGGTCTCCTCATGCATGAGTTCTGGACAATTTTCAGGATCACACCAGGAAGACAACTTGCTGGGATCATCTTATTACTATGTGCAGAGTAAAGTTAATCCCGACACACTTGGTGCGTGCACTAACAGGATCGCTCTCAGGGTATATATTGTCAACTTTGCGAATTTCCAGTCACACTCGACTTATTTCTCCGCCACTGAGCAGCTACCTGTGTGGTGCCAACGTTTCTTAACTCGAGTTAACAGCAACCACTCCAACTTTTCAATGGTGAACGCCGTGAAAGTCTTCAAGAAAACCGCCCCCAATGGTACGTTGATGAGGACCTGCGTCCTTACGTGGCTGCGTGCACGTCAGCCATGATGGTACTACCTGGTACTACTCTACGTGTCAGTATGTTTGTGATAGTACACTTACTTAAATACAAAGGCATAACAAGTCCACTTTACTAAAAAAAAAACAGCAAAACTCCAATAAAAAAATATCTTAAAATATAAACCGCTCCTAAAACCAACAGCAAAAATTATCACTAGTACTTGGTGAGTTACGATACACCACACAAACTTTACACGTGTCACTCAAGGCTGACAGTAGTTGTATTGTAACTCCTCAACACTCACCTTGTTAGATATAACACAAAACCTTTCGAAAATATCTTTACGTTATGAATGCCATTTGGTGTGAGTGTTCTCTATTGGGAAATTAAACATTACTGTTTTTAAATGGGTCCGTTGTAAGCGAGCGAGTCACTTATCCTTGTGTACTGTAGTGGTATGGCATTTACACCGGTTTATTGTCTTTATCAGTCGACTATGTAGGTTTATCCTCTCACGAATAATAATAATAATAATAATCATTGTGTCTGTAAATAATATTAATAAATGTATCAGTAAATAATAATAATAATAAAAAGCACTGCGTCAGAAAAAGCAGGACGCAAGACAACCCAAAAAACTCAACAATCTAGTCCAAATCGTGACAACTGGTCACCCTGTTTCCACACCCTCGAAGATAAGGAATAATTCTGCAGGTATCATGTCAAGACCACAATAATGACATTGCTGCCTTGTCTAACTCCACCTGCTCGCAACCATTGTGTTTTTACTCGCTTTGATATTGACAAATTCATCCCGAGTGATATTTGGTTTTCTGACGAACTTTCCTCATTATTCTCGAGTTAAAATTTTACGTGATGATAAACCAGAATTTGACCTCTAGCACCTTCCTCCCGCAGGTAAGATCACCGTCTACCTAGGCCGCCGCGACTTCGTGGACAACACCTCTAGCACCGAACCTGTTGATGGCGTCGTAGTCTGTGACAATGACTACCTCCGTGGCCGCAAGGTCTTCGCCACCGTGAGTGTCTAACATTTTCTCTAACATCCGGAAAATACATTACTTTAAAATTTATCTAAAGTTTTGACATTTCATGTAGTGAAGAAGAAGCTATAAATTAAACATTTAACCCTTTGTAGAGCAGGTGGCTCCTCTCACCTGAATAAAGTCGTCCGGCATTAGCAAAAATAAATTACCCTGGTGCGCCGCTACCCTACAAAGGGTTAAATGACACGAAATAGGATATTTTCATTTACTAAGCTGTCAACAATTTTATTCTGAAATCCAATAATAGCTTCCACACACATGCATGCAAACTTTATTCCTATCCATTATTAAAACACACACACACACTTAACGTCCTTGGACTCCCTTAGGTTACGGTCACGTACCGTTTCGGTCGCGAGGAGGATGAGGTCATGGGGCTGCACTTCAGCAAGGAGATGCAGCTCACATGTCAGCAGATCTACCCGACCCATGACGACAGCAAGATGACCGAGGTGCAGGACAGGCTGCTGAAGAAGCTGGGAGGCAACGCTCATGCTTTCCATGTCAACCTTCCCGAGGAGTCCCCCTTCTCCGTCCAACTCCATCCAGGCTCTGAGGAACTGGTGAGATGTCCAACAGTTTCTTCTTGAACTGAAAACAAAACAAAAAACACTCTCAGTTATTACAATCTTTGATGTAAGAACTTTACAATTTTACAAAGGTTATAAGTGTTAGTGAGTGGAGTATAAAGCTCCTTTGAAACATCCCAGAGAATAACTCATTAAGTGCATTAATTGTAGGGCTGACTTACCCATCCCGTAGTAAAGAGGAGATTGATTTTAAACCCACCAGAGCTTTTCTGGTCTCAAACGTTGTAGTTAGATGTGAGTAAAAACTGTTTCCTCCTTCGATATTGTTCAGTTATTAAAACATTGAACTTTCAGGTTTTGAACTCGAAAACAGAAAATTTACCTTCACTTTCTAGGTCTATTATAAGGCAACATAAGTTTCTCATATTTAATTCATGATCACTAATATCGTCATAATGACCCAGGCCAAGCCCCTGGGAGTGATCTACGAGTTGAAGGTTCACGTTGCCGACAACTCTGAAGAAAAAACCCACAGGCGGAACTCTGTCGCCCTCGCCGTGAGGAAGGTGCAGTACTCCCCAAGGACCTTGTCCAACCGGCAGCCCAGCACTCTGGTTACCAAGAACTTCACCTTCTCTCCCGGCAACCTTAACATGGAGGTCACCCTGGACAAGGAGGTGTTCTACCACGGGGAGCAGATCACCCCCAGCGTAGTCATCACTAACAACAGCAAGAAGACGGTGAAAGGGATGAAGTGCTCCATTGTGCAGCACATCGAGGTCACCATGACCAACACCCAGTTCACCCGCGAGGTAAAGCCCGGCTCTGGTGCTGACCATACTTGTCCCCGGCTCTGTAGTATCAGGAAGTTGGTTTTATACATAACTTACTAGTTAACTTTCAAACTATATCTGTTTATTTGTTCACTACCTTAGGAAAACTCTACAACACCTTTCATTAATGGTCTGGTACTTGACGGCCGCCAGAACGCAGTCCTATGATAAATTCAGTCTATCTTGCCTTGTCTCGTTTTTAAAGTCTGTTTAACATCAAAATACTGTACACTCCATAACCACTTTAGCTAAAAGATTCATTTCCAATGTATAATATTTGGTGATGGTTTTGGCAGGTGGCGTCTCTGCAGACCCAAGAGGGCTGTCCCCTCCAGCCTGGTGGCCGCTTCAAGAAGGCATTCCACATCATCCCGCTCGCCTCTAACAAGAGCAAGTACGGTATCGCCCTCGACGGCAAGATGAAGGTACAGTTCACGCTGATTTTCATTATTTAGTGACTAACAATATGTGATCAACTTTTGTGTTGAATGAAATTACCTTGTCCACGACACAAAACAACATAAGATCGCTTTCAGATGGAACCAAATTCTGTCGGTGGTTCGCTTAACCTGATCTATTTTATTTCAAATATCTTCAATATCATTTACAGTATATATTTTTTTCTCCAGGACACTGACGCCAACTTAGCCTCGTCCACGGTGATGCGAGATGGTAAATGTCCCAACGACGCTCTGGGTATCGTGGTGTCCTACAGCACCCGTATCCGCCTCAACTGCGGTGCCCTGGGTGGGGAGCTGGTGGCTGACCTGCCCTTCAAGCTGGTACACCCCGTCCCTGGTGAGTATTTGTCATATCTTACGTCAAGAGTCTCAACATACGATAATGACAAAACTTTCAATAATTACGGTTTGAATATTATTTTCGGCATAAAATAACTGACAATAAATTTCAATAATATTTGGAATTTCCAGTGCCAAGGAAAGTCCCACTGAAAGCAGGTGAAATAGTTAAATGTTCCTCCCCTTCTCCCCCAGGCTCCGGCAAGGGCGAGGACATCGTATTCGAGGATTTCGCCAATCTCCGTCGTGGAGTGAGCGTTGACAACCAGCTTTAAATTGTGTCCTGACGACCTCGCTGTCAACCTGGCCTGCACGTCTTTGTCAGCAACTTGACTCATACACCCCTGTTCTCCACAACCCCATCTGTTCCGTTGTTTGCCCCTTTGCGGCACTTCCCAGATCCCGTTCACTATCGCAGTTAACTCGACCCGAACGAACGAAGACGACGGCTGAGTCTGTAATCACCTTACGTTTAGTCATTCGTGTGTAGAAAATCCAAGATGGTAATTACCTGATTACATAGCCTTTATTAAGACCTTAACCAATATATATATACGTGTATAACCACGGCCTCAAACACTGCTGCTTCACCAGTAATAACGCCCGTGACCGTACAAATATGAAGACACAGTCGACACTATCAAGGCACAGCAGCAGGAGCAACACCAAAAGAGGCCTGAGATGTTCTCCCAGAACTCACAACTCTAAGATGGTCCATAAACACACCGGAGACCATGACTACTGGTACTACCCTGTAGGCCCTGCCTTGTTGAGTCCCTCTGCATTATGTACTCCTGTATTACTCCGCTCATTGAATTATTGGAGCAAATTTACCTATCAATCTGTTATCTGCAGCTATTAGTTGTAACGTGTGAACAAAATTAAAATTAATTCATCACTACCTGTTTTAATTCAGTGATCTAAAGGTGACCATCAAAAATAATATTTTTGAAGATAATATCTCTGCGTTTCTCAGTAATACATGACCACACTATTAGTAATAACTGGACTGATGTTCACCCAAGTGTATGACCACGATATAACAAACGCGTACTGGTAGATGCCAGACAATGCTAAAACTTATTGTGGTAATATACATAATCATTCACGATTTTAAAACTTCAAAACACATGAATGATTAAAATTATCAGACATTTGACATATAATCCCAATCCCCTCAATACATCGGCCAACATGTCATGCTGTTTAGGATTAATCAGTCAATTAAGCTTTAATAATACATTGACAGTTTTACCACAAAAAAGTGATTTTGTTTTATAACTAAAATGCTATGGATATCGGTCATATATAGTAATATTGGATATTTCATTATTTTAAGATGTCGTTCACTATCATAACCTAACTTTACTTAAATTAAGTTAGGTGCAGTAATGATGAAATTGTACAGTTTCTATCACGATTATCCACATGTCATTTGAACCTCCAAAAAAATATTATCGGCATTTTGTACCTATTCTTAAAACGCCTGATGAAAATAATAGTACTGTAATAATAATAGTATTAATAATAATAATGTTTATAATAATAATAATGTTATAATAATAATAATAATAATAAAGTTTATTGAGAGAAAATAGCTGCTGAAGGGCTGAAAATACACAATGAACAGAGATTATATAAATTACTTACAGTGGTATAGTGAGTGGGTAATTGAACAAAAGCCTTCATTACAAAAAGAGGGGGAAACATAAGATGAAAACACGTGCTACAGAAACTACAGTAGCGTGGCTTGTGCCTAATGCAGCTGTGGTGTCGGACAGCTGCATGTGGATGGGATCTGTTCCAAGATAACTGGTTGGTGGTGAGGATGGTGTAGCAGCTCTGTTAGCTGGAGACATAATGAAGATCAGGGAAGCTGAGAAGGCCTCTTGATAGGTGGTTTATAGCAGCAATATAACTCTGTGGTCCAGAGATCCATTGACTTGTTTCACAGTGGATACAGTGATGGGGTTGTTATAAAACCTCACCCGAGGTTGAAAGCGACCCTTCGGGGAAGTCCAAATTTCACATATGGGTGCGAAATACCAGCCATGACCTTCATTTACCACTGGTTACTTGTTCATCGGATGTACTCACCATCCACTGATTTTCATTCTTGAAATTATCGCTTTCGTATCAGTCGTGGATTGATTATCAATTCTTGCACTGGATTCTTGGTGGGGAAGAATTGAGGGAAGAAGGTGCGAAGGGGAACGAACTGTTGACCCCCAAACAGTTGCAGTAATTAATGGTTTATTGAAAAAGTTCTGCAGCCCGAAGGCTGAAAATATACATTGGACATAAATTACTTATTACATACATTGAAATTGGTGGTTTAACAAAAACCTTCATCAGAGAAAGGTAAAGGAACATACAGTGAACATACAGATTAATGTAGGTGTTGAACAGCAAACACGTAGTGTAGTAACTCCCTCCCAAATGGTGTTAGGAGGGACCTCACGTGGTGTAGTAGTTCCCTCACAGATGGTGTTATGAGGGACCTCACGTGGTGTAGTGATTCCCTCACAGATGGTGTTATGAGGGACCTCACGTGGTGTAGTAATTCCCTCACAGATGGTGTTATGAGGGGAATCACTTGGTGCAATAATTCCCTCACAGATTGTGTTATATGAGTGAGGTGTGGTCCCAGGACTTCCTATCGTAGACGGATTAACACATCGCTGGTTTTTGTTAAGTCCCACGGGCATTTATCACTGGGTACCTGGGACCTCACTGTGTGAAGGTTAACTTGGGTACGACGCTGCTGTTGCTGTTGAGTTGTTCTCACTTACTTAAGCACTGTTCACCACTGTTCACCTCTGTTCAACACTGGTTCCATTCCTTTCCTAAATGAAATTGTAACTTCTGGTGAGAACTTGTTGATATTCCGGTGGGGGGGAGGGTTCAGGGGAGGGAGTTGGTATGGGCCAACTCAACAGTTGACCTGGCTGCTCCTAGAGGAGCGCCAGGTACGTCTTGACCCTTTAGTGGTCAAGGAAGAAGTGTGTGTGTGCTACTTAAATACAGTACAGTATATGGTGGTGAGCCATCCACACCATCAATGTATATCAATGTGGATGGTATATGAACTGTATTCCAGCCTTAGCGTACAAGATACAAATACTGGTATATCTGTTAGGCAAAATTATGCCTTGGCTAACTTATCTGCTCTCATATACTTTCAATCATATACAGTTTTCAGAAAATACTTCACTGGTGGTGAATGCAAGTGCATTATTTATCAAAATTATTATTATTTTTAATTACTGCACATGTAACACAGTAGTGCACATGCAGAATAGTACTGCACATGCAACATTACTGTACATGTGACAGAACATCTCATAAAAATTGACAACATCTCGTACATAACTGCAGACTCACCAAACTCAAGTACCCATGTATGGAGGATGACGCTGTTTCACTGCCTGACTCACGAACCCCTCTGTGAAAATACACCTGTACCTCATACCTCAAACTAAATCTATTAAACTTCTTTGTACGACCTCTTATTTCAAAGCGTGATTCAGGAACCACCCAAGAGAACTTACATCTCCAGTGTGAGTTGGTAACAAGTTTGTGTTCCATATGTGTGTGTACTGTACATAGACGAGTCCTCAATCTACACCTGCCCGATCAGATGGTCAAGAGACTGTAACACACCATGGGACAAGAGAAGGATCATCTGAATATTAGACACCCCAGCTTATTTCTCCTTAAGATTAAACTCCCTAACGCTACAAGGGAGTTAGATTAGGGTAAGGTAGGTTTGGTTCGGTTAGGTTTGAGTTTGGTTGGTTAATCTTCAGATGATATACGCTGGGGTGTCTAATTTTCAAGTGATCCCAGGTGTGTTGGCCTGTCCTAAAGAACCTGGAATTATGGTCTTTGGGACTGTTGGTTGGGCGTCAGTACCGGGAATGTTTCCACGTGATGTCATCCTTGAATGATGTTAAACAAGAGGACCATACATCACTAACCCTGCTGTACACGGTCCTTTACACACGGCATTCATGAGCCAAATTCTTCTGCCGGATAACAATTCCTTTGTCCGTCTTTGTGTAAGTCTGCTTGTAAGGACGTCTCCCGTGTTGTGGAAATACCGTAATGTATAGAAAATTGGCCCCGTAGGCAGTGTGGCCGGCATGACACTCGAACGCCTTCACTTCCCAACCACTAATCAAGGCATAAAGATATCTTTATACCTTGCCGCTAATATTAGGTACCCGTTGACTGCTCGGGACTCACCGGGTACGAGCCAGCTACCCTTAAGACAGGAGGAGTTGAATCCATTTTTTTTCTTTTTATGGGGAATAGCCCAACCGGGCACAGGTCATCAATCTTCAACTGGGCCCGGGGGGGAAGTAAAATTAGAGGAGAAAAAGGGTATGTTAATCTACACCACGAAGATGTCGGAGAATCAGCTTTTTGAAGTGAGACAGATTGTAAAAGGATGGAAACACAGAAGGCAAAGCATTCCACAGTGTGGCTGTGTGTGGTATAGCACAGGTCAGTGTTCTATGATCATAGCATAACACAGATGGCTGTGTACATTGATTATGGCATGACACGGGTTGGTGTACATTGTTAGTTTCACTACTTGTTTAACTACTGTTTTGTTGGTTATGCCTAAATACTTATATTACAAGCAAAACTCCTCGTTTTCATTCGGGTTAAGTATACACTGCAAACCATCACAGTTTGCTCTCCCTGACACGGGTAACCACCTCCCATACAATCGCGGCGGTTATTTTTTGTTCTTGCCCGGACCACCCGGAGGACTGTGGTCAATAGTAATATTAGGGTGCACAACTTTTGGACCCATGTAATAATATTATGTGCGTAAAGTACCAGGCCTCTAACTGCTTCCGTTTTGGAGCTATGGCTAGAACAGACAGACTCACACACACGTCCTATTAACATTATAGATTAATTAAAAACATTGAAATAAACATAACTCAGTTATACTGTATATCACACATATTTTTTCTTTTAATACCATATAGTTGCACAGTATGTCTCACTGCTACACGTTAGTCAAAATAGCCTGAAAACATACAAACTTATTGTGGTTATGCAATGCTACCTAAGAAGCCTAATAAATTTCTTTGTTCTCCGCTGAAAGTTTTCTTGCTTAATGCTGCTAACACACTTGAACAAGATGAAATTATAAATCGCCAGTCAAGCCTACACATACTGGTTCATAAAAAACAGGCGTTACAAAATACATACTGCTGTATATCATACAGTAGAAAAAAAACTATGCTGGACGAGATGTCAATGTGAATTATATCATATATTTCTTAAAGGAATTTTTTTTACATACTGCAACTCAACACATTTTAGATGTATACATACAAGAACATAATTGATTCTGAGAGAATTTGAAGTGTTCATCTTAAAATGGTAACTCAAAGAAAATTAAAGGCATCCTCCAGGAAAACAAATTGTGACATGTTCCCTTAACACCGTGGAATGTGGCGCGGAAGCTTAGCCTAACTAAAGCAACAGAAAGACCACTAACAGAGAATCCCTACTGCTCCCTCAGGCTGTGGTGGAAGACGAGCTTAAGGGCCACAGCAAACACAATGCTTGAAGGTAATCTCATTATTTCTGAGGTCACTGTGCGAATCCCCACACAACATGCTTCGCGCGTTAACAGGATTGCTATGTGTATATATTCTCCGCTTTGCTGATTTGCAGCCATTCCGTCCTATCTCTCGTCGGAACAACACCTACCTACAGTTTGACCTAGGTTCTATTGATCCAAAGTTGATCACAAACAACTTTTCGATGGTGAGCGCCGTGAAAGTCTTCAAGAAAACCGCCCCCAATGGTACGTTGTTCAGCGCCTGTGACACGAAGCCTCTAGTTTCCCACTTTTATTTGCATTCACTA